CGCTCCACTTCTCACCAGCATTGTTAGTCTGATGCACACAGCTCTCATAGTCTAATTTTTATCTTGTGAAATTTTGCAACAGCTTAAACTTACACCTTCCTACAAATAAACAACATGTAGAAGGTTAATGTTCAATAAAAGGCCATGTGGTTACCTAGATGGTCTGGCTGTTGACTTCATCTGGTCCCATAGTTGTTAATGTTTCAATATTGAAAACCTAAATATATTCATCTGGCATTTATGAACAAATATTAGGTCAGATTTTTTTTTTTTTGCAGATGTAGAATAAAATTTTCTGTTTTTACATTTTTTTGCAGTGTCCACACACTGGATAAAGAATCACATCACTGCAGTCTTAAGTGATAGCTACCGGGTTGGAATACATGGTTATAAATGGATTTATAAGTGTAAGATATCTAGTGGACAGCTATGTTCCCTCACACGAAAATCTATGCAGGGCATAAAATAAAATCCAATGTAAACTGTAAATCAATTAGACCAATGCTTTGCTTGCCATACTAAATGAAATATGTTAAAAAACAAATCAATATGGAATAAGTTCATATTATTTTTATTTCTTTTTGGGCTCTTATAGTATCTCGTCTTTATTACAGCTATCACAAATTACCTCAATCTGCTGGATCTACTCTTCAATCCTACTTTAATATATCACTATAAAATCAGTTTTTTTATAAAAATGTATTAATCCAATAGTTGTATTTGGATGATTATGTTTAATAAAAGCGAGTGTCCTTTTAAAAAGTTCAGAAAATGTCCTTATTCTGCACTTTAAAAGACGAATAAATGAATAATGTAGCTGGAAGAATATGTAGCTGTTCAAATTATCCTCCAGTCTAGGTTTCCAGAAGAATGAAACTCACCAGTTTGTAACATCCTATCAATCAGACATGCACTCAGTTTAAGACGCACCTGTCTACCACGTAGCACGATGCTCCATGGGACATAATGAAGAACATAATGAAGCAATAACGTACACAGAGGTCATCGGCACATTCCAGATATGGTTGCTGCTGCACTTAGATGTGAGTAGCCAAAGGAGATCTCACAGCTTGAAGTATTTATGCTATACTTCAAACATCCAGTGCTGATTGTAAAAGAAGATTTAGTTTAATAAATCATATCTAAACAGCATCCAGAAAGCTATTAAAGTGGCATGTTTGGACAATCGTTGGAGAAGTAAAATGGACACGTGAAAATTAGATATTCTACTGACATTTATTAATATTTTTATTTATGGATATTTATTATGAAATGCCTAGACTGTTATGAAATTCATAATAGAAATGCTATTCATCTGTGCTACTGCACATCTACATATAGCATACAACACATCTCATTACTTATTTTTATTTTAAGTTGGCCAAATCACTAAAAATAAAAGTAAGCAACTAGAAATTACTGCTGTAATCTCTTATGATTTTAACAAACTATTGAACGTCTATGATCCCAGGTTTATAACAAGTTTAATGTTGGTGTATTGCTTAAGAGTGCACATCTGATGTTGCCCCTTGTGTGTATGCTCAGGCACATGACAAATTAGAGGGAACATTGGCTGGCAGCCACTTTTATATTTATGCATCCGCTTCCTCTGTTTCCAGGTTTATGGGGACCTGTTACGCTCTGTTCTGGTACATTTTCTCCTTAGCGCATGTTGCGCTCTTTGTCACCCGCATCAGCTACACAGAGGAGCTGCGCTCCTTCGTCGGCGCCATGATCATAGGCACCTACAACATTGTGGTGGTTATTGTGCTGACCAAGCTGCTGGTGGCCATGCTCCATAAAAGTTTCAGACAAATTGCTGTAAGTTTAAACAACATCTGGCTCTGTAAATGTCTCAGGCAATTAAAATTAATCGCAGAGCTGAAAGCAGCATCTATTTTTACTTATGTTACGATTAGATGTTACTTTAAGTTACTCCATAATGACTCACAGATGGTAAATTGTTTCTTTGTTTATTCTTTGAGTCACTATTTACAACTGATTAGATTACAATGGTGATTTTGCATTTCCAAGATTTTTTTTTTCTCTTGAACAGTTCAAGCTTTATGGTATAAAAGTGCTTTTTAATGTGCTTTTATAGAACCATGAGGATAAGGAGTGGAAGTTTGCACGGGCTAAACTCTGGCTGAGTTACTTTGATGACAAGTGTACCCTGCCCCCACCTCTTAATATCCTGACCTCTCCGAAGACCGTCTGCTACCTGGTGACCAGTCTCAGGAAATGGATCTGTTCTCACACCACAAAGGGCAAAGTGAAGAGACAGAATAGCCTCAAGGTGAGAAAGTTAAACATAGTCATGACTTTAGATGCATGTCATCTTTTTAAATTCAAAACAACGGTTAAAATAAACCCCTTTTCCTTTCATTGCATTTCTTTTGGCATAAACAGATATGTTGTTTATTGAAAAACTAAGTACACTCTAATAACCATAAGAAGGATGTTTTTTGATGGTTTTATTTATTCAATTAAATTCAAATTAGTTTTTTTTATATAGTGCCTATTCACAGTCCATGTCATCACAAGGCATTTTACGGAGACAATTCATCCAGATTATATAGTTAGATTAGCTCAACGCTTTCTATCTAAGGAAAACCAGCTGATTGCATCAACTCATTGAATCGAAAGCAATTCCTCACACAAGCATGCTTGAAGCGACAGTGGAGATGAAAACTCCCTTTTAACAGGAAGAAACCTCCAGCACAACCAGGCTCAGTGTAAGCGGTCATCTGCCAAGGCTAACTTGGGTTCAAGGGGACAGAAGCAGACATAGAAAAAGATAAAAGGTAACTATCAACCAGCTCCAAAGGCGGACAATTCCAGGAAACATACAGTCAGGGAGACGAGCTCTGAGCCAGTTCCCATGTCAGAGGATGAGAAAGAGCACATACAGTTAGTCACAGTGGAGAGATAGAATGAAAAACAGACCAAGCTCCAACATATATAAATAAAGGGGTTGGCGGCAGCAGCATAGCTGATATTTCTCTCTAGGATTGTGTCACAGTCAAACAGGAACAGACCAGATGAAGCTACTATGGTGAGAAAAAGCAGAGAGATCATAACATTAAATATTGAACTACAAAATACTGCAGATGGGGAAAATAGAGATAGAATTAATCAGAATGATTAAAGATGGGTCCCTATGTCCTCCATCAGTCTAAGCCTATAGCAGCATGACTAAAGAGATAGCTCAGGATAACCTGAGCCCCTCTAACTGTAAGCTTTATCAAAACGTTTTAAGCCTACCCTTAAAAGTAGACAGGATGTCTGCCTCACGGACTAAAACTGGTAGTTGGTTCCACATTAGAGGAGCCTGATAACTGAAAGATCTGCCTCCCATTCTACTTTCAGAAATTCTAGGAACCTCCACCAAACCTGCAGATTTAGAGTGAAGTGCTCTGTTAGGAACACAAGGAACAATCATATTTCTGATATAAGATGGAGCTTGGCCATTTAAGGCTTTATATGTAAGAAGGAGAATTTTAATTTCTTTTCTGGATTTAACAGGAAGATAATGAAGACAAGCTAGGATAGAAAAAATATGATCTCTCTTTTTAATTTTCATCAGAACTCTGGATGTAGCGTTATGGATCAGCTGAAGGCTTTTAACTACAGTTTGTGGATTTCCTGATTTTAAAGAATTACAATAGTCCAGCCTTGAAGTAACAAATGCATGGACTGGTTTCTCAGCATCACCCATGGACAGGATATTTCTAATTTTTGCTAAATTCCGTTGATGAAAGATGGAAATTCTAGTCTTGATCAACACCAAGATTTTGTTCTTTATTATCTGAGATCAATTTAATCCCATCCAAATGAATTGACTGACTAATCACCTTATTTTCCAAGACTCTGGTCCAAGGACATTAACTTCTGTTTGATATGCATTGAGATGCAGAAAGTTAAGAGTCATCTAGGTTTTTATGCCCTCAAGACATGTCTGTAGTCTATGTTATGATCAATTAGTGATAGAAAGTGGAACACATTCTTTAAAATTATAACTGCATTATCTAATAATGCTCTGCTAATGTGAAACATTCTTTTTGGGGAGCAGGACTCACCACCGGGAGTCTGACATAGTGAAAATCGGGACAAGAACGTAGGACGGTCTTATGTAAACATATCACCAGAGTGATTGACAATTAGGAGGACCAATTATTTTGATGATCCACTTGGAAAAAGAACATCCTCCACTACACCTTTAAGACTTCTGTAGGTTTTTAAAACTGACACAATGTCCATCATTGAAAAAATGTGGTTTCTCTGCAGGAGTGGAAGAACCTGAAACAGAAGCGCGATGAGAACTACCAGAAGATCATGTGTTGTCTGGTACACCGCTACCTGACTTCCACACGACAGAAGATGCAGAGCATGGATCAGGCCACGGTGGAAAATCTCAACGACCTTCGCCAAGATCTGTCCAAGTTTCGCAACGAGATGAGGGACCTGTTGGGATTCCGGACATCCAAATACGCCATGTTTTACCCAAGGAGCTAAGGCAAAGAAAGAAACAACAACAAAAAACTGACTACTTCCTCTTCCTTCTTTCCTCCTTATTAAAATCTGCTTCATGTTTATCTGGGATCCCCCAAGCATGTGCAAAAACTCTGCTCTTTAAAGTCACTGGGCTAATTTTAAAACCTGGACCTTTGTTAGAGAACTATGTATTCACCAAAGACTCAGGCCTCCTATTTATTCAGCTGTGTAACCCTTATCTTGTAAATAAAAAAAGCCATTCTTTTCAACAGAAAATAAAGATTAATAAAAGATTTGGACTTTCTTTGGATTTGATGACTCTAGAAACCTAGACAGAGATAGTTATTGTTGAAAACTAAGTAAAGAGAAATGAGAATTGAATATCTAATTATATTTCTCTTGGTGTTTTCATTTGAAATAAATGCTTATTAGTGGGACCTGGTAGCTAACAGCTAATCCAAGTTGGGTAGAAACCAAAGCAGACGTCAGACATTTTTAAAACAGCTGTTTTAAAATCGTATTATAAAAAATACTTACAGTATGCTGCAGTATATTGTGGAATAACATAATGGTGAAAGGTCAACATCTTCTATGTTGATTATGAACAAGAAGCCATTTAACATGCTTCTATAACTGGTAAGCTGGTATTTCAAATGAGACAACTTGATTCCTCCTTGACCAGTCATTATCTAGTCTATCTGACTATAGCTGAGGTATTACAAGTGTATAACTTCTATATAAGGTGGTTATTTGCATGAAAGCCCTATGATTACTGACAATGGGAAAAAAAAGATCTATCTGTAGGAAGCAGGTTATGAGAAAGAATCAAGCTACAGCAGACAGCAGCAATTATTATTTAAATGCTGTCTTTATTTTTCTACTAGTATGTGTTTAACACAGGGAGATCAATGAAAGGGCTCAACCCCCTACTTCTATTCGCTGTGTAAATGATTACTGGCTTCTGTCTAAAAAAACAGCATAATGAAAAATAGTTTAAAAGCTCATGATGTAGACTTTGCACAAACCGTCTGACGTTGCTGAGACTGGTTTTCTTTAAAGAGCCTGTGTCTGTGTTTTGGCCTCCCTTGGGCGAACCTTAGCTTCAGCCTCCTGAATTGATACTTAACGAAGACTTGGTGAAAGCTATCTGCTTCTGCTAACATGTCAGCTGCCTATAAAAATAAAAACACTTAATTCCCACTTTTATTTTCTATTCCTGAAAAGTTTTCCTCAGCTAGCAGCAGACCGTTGTCCACACATCCCACATTTCACATGTCTTATTCATTCTAATGCCAAAAAGTTCATAGCAAACAGGGATGAAAATATTGTTTTATTTGGTAAGATAAAAACAATGTTTTATAAATAACATTCATAAACTTTTATATATATTTAAAGTGTTTTTGCTTGGAAAAATAATATTGACAGTATTTATATGACATGAATTGGTTGGTTGTTTGCATAACTGAAAAGTAAATATTTTAATATAAAATCAGAAAACTTATTTGGCATGAATCAATAAATATTGCACTTCAGTCAACACATTTAAAATGTGAAACATATCCATCAAAACTGAATACATGGCAATTTTAGCCGACTGTCATAAAAAAGTAAAAAAGAAATTCCCTTTGGCTGATAAGAAAATTGAGCAAAACTCTCAACATTCCATTCTGTACTTTTGATAGCAGTTTTGATTGAAAACAATAAAAAGTTACGTCTGGAGTCATTTTAAAAGAAAGTGCCAGTATTGGCTGCCTGAACAGATGTGGAAAAAGAAAAAAATGTAGAAGAAAGATTTTTCTGACAAGCTACCTTTTTATCTCTAAGAGAAAACTGCAGATAGAAGGAGAGATTTTAACTCATTTTCTGTTCATTAACCTAAGTTGAAACAACAGGATGACGAAATGTATTATAAACGGGATGCAGGCCTTATCAATTTAATAATGCCAGCAATTAAAGAAAAAAGTCACCATTCTATGCAAAAGTGTGAGATACCCTTAATTAAATCAGCTATACATATTTTATTTTTTACTGCCAGATGTTATATAATCTCTGTGTCCTTGAGAAGGAGCTGTCTTTTCCTCCTAATTGATTCCATCCACAGCTGAGTCCTCTTTGGGTGGGAAAGGTCTGACGGAAATCTTCTGCGAAAGAAAATCAGCACTGCCTGTTTTTCAGAACGTTAAGTCCTTTCTGGTTCTTCTTCTTGAAGGCCATGACGAAGTGGTGCGGGGCAATCTTCCCCCGGCCCTCATCATCCACCTGGCCCATGAAGATGTAGTTCAAGCCTGGTGAAGTCACACAAAAAAGACCTGAATGCAGTGGCAGAATGGAAGAGACATTCAGGGAGGCCGGACATGAGAGTCTGCATGTGGCAGGTCTGTATGTTTAATGTTTACAGCTTTAGCTGTTGTTGACTGTTTGGACAGTGAGTTTTGCCTGCTTACCTTATGCCTTGGCTAGCTTGGCTGACCGGGGCGCCAGAGCAGGAGGCAAACTCAAAGCCATTTGTTATTTAAAACAGTCAACCAGAGGCTGCATCATTACTGAATGTTTAAAACATGCAAGAAAGGAGGATTTAATTATTTAATTTCATCGTTACACTTACCTCTTCTGATTAATGGACACTTTTTGCACAGGATAATGATCTTGGTGCTCATCGTCTTCCCTGCCTGCTGGATTCCCAGGCTGCCCTCCTTATACACATTGATGATGGAGACCGTGGCATACATGCTTCCTCCTCTAATCACCGCAGTAATGACTGTCCCTGTTATTACTGTGACAGACAACCAAAAGAGACATTAAAGAATGGGCTGTATTTATAATGATGTGCAGTTGTAGCTATTTTAGATCTACGTTAGAGTATTTGAAAGGTAAATACTACATTTCATTTTTTTTTAATAGATAAGCCTCTTGTAGGGATTGGAAGGAAAAAAATGATAGAAAACAGGAGCTTTGCATTTGACAGCTGCAGTAAAGAAAATCTGTGTTACGGCTTCATTTGTATGAGAGAGATGTAGACATATTTGAAGTAAATTTTATTTTTATGGACCTTCTTTAGAGTGTAGCCAGCCTGTAAATGTCAGCGTAAATTAACAGGATGTTAGAGCTCAATGCTCCCCTCCCGACCTTTCACTAACCTGTTCCTCAGCTGTTGGCTATAATGCTCAAGTATAAGTAAAATGCTAAAAGTCAAACAACACAATGTCAGCAAAGCACTTTACTTCCAGAGCCAAAAACTGTTTTATGGAAAAGTAGAATGACTATAAATAGCCATATTGATTTTGAAATTGTAACTGTTTTTAAGCGTTGTTTTGACCGCTCCTTTTTCATAAGTGTTATTGGTGAAACAAAAAAACTTTTAGGTAATAAATGAAGCAAATTTACTAGCATTCTGTTGGAGAAAGAAGTTACTGAACTGAAAATTTACAGCTGTCCTCTGGAAAAGTTTTTATGGACCATTGGCAGAACATTCTGATAAGATGAAAGGGATGTGAAAGGCTTACTGGTGGATACAGGGTTTTATAAATGTATTTGAGCCTAAATTATAAATGGAAGATAATATAAATTTAATCAAAACATGTTTTCAGTTTTTTCTGAGTGTTTTCTTGTTTTTTTACTCAATGCTTTTGATGTAAATATATCACTATATAATTATACCTTGGAAAAACTCCAAGGTTAATATGACTTTATTGGGAATAATGAGTGCATATAAATTTATTCAATTTCCATAGAATTTCCATAAGAATGTGACTATCTTCTAATAAAAAGCAAAGCTCCCAGTTGTCCCCTGATGCTAAGACAATATATTGAAGTGGGGGTTGGAGTGATTTCCTGTTTAGTCTGACGAAGGCCTCCAGAAGAGTACATATTGTCTTTGTTCTGACTCATGGAAACTCTGTAACAGTGGGCGGGTGGCACTGGAGGAATTATAGATAAAGAAGGAACCTAAAGGGGGAAAAAAAAAAACAGAACTCTTACTAATGCTGGGCTCACTGTGTCTCCACTGACAGAGCTGAGAAGTCAGATACTACTGTTACACAAACCAGAAAAGTGCTTTGGATGGTTCTCAGAGAACTTATCTGGATGAAACAACACCAGCTGTTCTAAGACTTAAAGCACTGATTAGACAGGACTGTTTTTAACCCACTGTCTCACCACTTCTAACAAATCCTGAACTGACTTCCCCACAACCACAACATTCATGAGACATTTTCCATATCCTTTGCTCATTTGGGTCTGGCTCAGTTTCAAGTGTAGATCACCCGTATGCAGCTAACATCCCAGAGAGCGTGTCTGTTTATTTTACACCAAACTCCCTTACAGGCTCTGGGAGTGTTTGCATCCATACTAGAGGTTACTGTGCCCTAATGTGTGCAGTACTTCAGTTCCAGACTGTTTATGAAGGCAGGCTTTTAGCTGCATGACCAAAAAAAGAGAGGACAAGATCAGGGCTGTAAACAGCTACTTAAGGGGGAGTTTTGGCTGTCAAGAACTTCTTGATATACGTCTACGGATCCTCAGCTCTTAGGGATAAGCATGTTTGCAAAAGTTTCACAATGCAACAGAAGATGAAATCTATTAATTAGGGTAATTTAGGAGGGTTATAAAAACATGACATGCATTGATGTTCTCACCAAAATTGCTAGAGCAGTAATTGCTCTCAAGGGTTCCTTTTCTTTTGCATTTCTGCTGACACAAGGCCACCGAGTACAGAGCTGTGGAGACACACACAAACATACATATTCTTTTTTATTTTATTTTTTTTTAGCCATTGATGCATGTAAGTTATGACTCCATCTGTTTTTGTCATCTCTTTACTGGATACTCTCAATTATAAAATATTCTAATCTCTGTCAATTTTCAAGACAAAAAAAAATTTAATAACAAAATAAGAAAACATCTGTTTTTGAAGTTAGAATCTATTAAAGAAAGAATTATGGCTTCCAGCAAATATAAGGTGACTGACTACATATTTTCTCACTGGGAGAAGGAAAATCAGGGAAGATGAGCCAGACGGGAAGCAGTGTCACTGAGTGACATCATCACATGGAGGGTCGCTGCCAAAATAACCTGGCCTGACTAAGGGAAAAAGCAACAGTGTGTGAGAGTGAGTGTTTGAATATGAAAATGAACCACCATTGCAGGCAAAGATGTATGCCTGCACTGACAGTCAATTTATGTAACGTACAGTTTACTCAGGGAAAATGGTAACAAACACACTTTTAGGATCAGTTCTGTATTACCATGTACTGCTTATGGGGACTTTCCATGAGCAGGATGATGTGCT